TAGCACAATGTGGCATATGTTTGTTAATTCATTCACAGCTGCCTTTGTACTTTGTAATAATAAAGCTATGCATTCGTTGTGCATGATATATGTTAACACTGTATAAGAACACTTCTTTGTATATCATTTATATCAGGGCTGTAACAACCTCAGTGTTTATGGCCCAAATGTCCCAAACCATGACGTTTATTATTTACTAAGGCCGAAATGTCTAGGAATCGTTGAGCAGAATTCATAATGGTTCCATGCATGACTTGTGTGTCGCTGCTGCTCTAAACACCATTCAAAATTAAACAATTTGCAGTTTGTGGCTAGAAATTTTTTTTTCTTATCATTGAAAAGCCTTTTTGATAATGTTTTTGCTCGAATGAGCTTTTCACTTTGCATAATTTGTGGAACAAGATCACAAATGCATCAATTTCAAGTGCTTAGATATGTGTTCATATCCGGCGATATTTGTCCCATTCCGCAGGCAGGTAAACAAAGAATGCTTCAACTAAGAGAATAGCACAAACCTTTTCATAAAACAATATTTTCTGACACACAAATATTACACTGATATCTTTTCATTATATAGACACACTGCCTAGGTATTACACTGATTCAATGACAGATATTATCTTTTCATTATATAGACACACTGCCTAGGTATTACACTGATTCAATGACAGATATTATCTTTTCATTATATAGACACACTGCCTAGGTATTACACTGATTCAATGACATATATTATCTTTTCATTATATAGACACACTGCCTAGGTATTACACTGATTCAGTGACAGATATTATCTTTTCATTATATAGACACACTGCCTAGGTATTACACTGATTCAATGACAGATATTATCTTTTCATTATATAGACACACTGCCTAGGTATTACACTGATTCAGTGACAGATATTATCTTTTCATTATATAGACACACTGCCTAGGTATTACACTGATTCAGTGACAGATATTATCTTTTCATTATATAGACACACTGCCTAGGTATTACACTGATTCAGTGACAGATATTATCTTTTCATTATATAGACACACTGCTTAGGTATTACACTGATTCAATGACAGATATTATCTTTTCATTATATAGATACACTGCCTCGGTATTACACTGATTCAGTGACAGATATTATCTTTTCATTAAATAGACACACTGCCTAGGTATTACACTGATTCAATGACATATATTATCTTTTCATTATATAGACACACTGCCTAGGTATTACACTGATTCAATGACAGATATGTGGAATGCAAATGAGAAAACAAGGTATGCAAGACTGAGTGGTGCTGATAGTCTGGGAGCACATTCTGCTGGGTCATCGCAGTCTCAGGCATCAACGGTCATTGCTGCGGAGCGCGGCAGGAAGTCATCAGGCATGTCGTCATCCCAGGTAGGGTCTTCGGTTCATTCCATACGAGAACGCAGTCGAAGTCCAGCAACAGGATCAAACAAGCCCCCACAGCATGCTACAACAAAGAGCACAAAATCTAAGCATTCACACAGTAAAACACAGAAGGTATGCATTCTTGTACATTACAAGCATAAACTGATATATCTTGCGGTCAATCTTGACTTGCATGTATTATACTTCACCTTTTATTACTTTGCTTGATTGCTCACTCTTTAGCAGAGCAGGAATCACAATTCATCTTACTCAAACCCAATACAGATATGCTGGTGAATATGCAAATCTTGTTTACATATACATTGTACATGTAGTATCAACCTTATAGTAAAAATGTTTTTTAACAACCAACTATTGCATAAAAAGCTGGTTCTTGATCTCAACATTTCATCAGCTGAATACCTCAACAGACAGCCAAAATGAATAAGAAATTTAAATTTTAAATTATGTATAAATTACTATTTTCCCTTATTTGACCATAGAACATGCATGAAAGAATGTGAACAAAAACTCTTTATGCTGAAGACTAGGATCTAAAAGATTTTTGTTTTGTATTTGTTTAACCCAAAGTCTAAATATTGTTTGAACCTAATTGCATGGGCAAAATAACCCTACAAACAGCTCATATGAGATAAAATGAGTTTTGAAAACTAACATTTAAGAAGTGACCATTTCAGTGAATTGGTCATGTGGTGGGAACCACAGGTAATTATGATGCACAATCATCGAATTATCGAGAGATTGTCAGAGAGAGGCTTAACCTTTCGAGATGGCCTTGGGCCAATACCCCAGGATTAGTTGTCATCTTGTAAAATAATCCCTGAGATTTGCTTGACAAAAAATGTACAAATGTTGATATATATATAGCATATATGCTATGCTTTCAGTGTCTGGATTTTGACATTTGGATACTACTGTATTAAACCTAATGTTTGAGTGGAAATAAATTTGATTTGATTTGGATTTGATAGTTACAGCTATTGTCATCTTTACAGGGAAAATAGAGTACAAATTATGATAATTAGTAAATAAGAATTATTGATATTAAAAAACAAATTAACCAACAACATTTTTTTTTTCTTCACTTTATAAACATAATTTTTTCAGGACAAAGAAAGAACGTTAACTACTAAAGGCCGGCCGTGCAAAGAACATGTCTTCCTTACTGATGTTGCCGATGTGAGACAGATGGAGCAAGGTCTTTTACAAATGTTAAATGACTTCCACTCAGGTCGACTGCAGGCGTTTGGTAATGTATACGTTCAAGGGCAATAGCTGTTGCACATGCCACATGTGTAATACATGGATCCCATGCGCCACATGTGTAATACATTTATTTAGACAAAATTGAGTTTGCATTGCACGATGAAGAACTGCTCTTTAAATAACATGTTTTCTGAATTAAACCATAAACTAGTGGATGGGAAAATATCTAGTACATGCTTGAGGTAGGGATCACACCATGCTGAATGATCCACCCTTCTGACCAGGACAATTGTTCTATTGTTACTAAAATAGTTATGCACTGACCGGCACACATTCTGCCAGTCAAGGATTTGAATTTGTAATCAATGGGACCTAATTATCACATGATGTGGTGCTAGCTTATAAACAATCACCTAGGATAGTCAATTTTGTGAAATTAGCACCTCAGTGTATTTATTGATTGCATAAAATGCAACTGTTATCATCGTAAATTGACATCAAAACTCTTCTCTCAACATCGTTTCCTTCTGCCATGCAACTTTTATGATCACTACCATTTAAAAAACTTTGGGTTCTATCGACATTACTATGCAGCATTTTGATTAGTTAATGGCATTCTTGACCCATCAGTTTGAAAGATACATGCCGGTCAACTAATGCATCACAAACATAATGACCGGTTTGTGTTTTTTTACCCAAGCAATTGGTTGATCAGAAACATTTTACTTGTATTTCGTATCAAAAATATAAACTAACATTTTTTGCTTAGCATTAAAACTAAGTAAGAGATATTATTTGTATAACCAGTGTATGAACCTTGAGAAGTAAATTATGATACGTCATAACTTTGATGATTATTTGCAAGTGATAATTGCTCATTAAATGCACAGTAAACATTTTGAAATAATAAATTACCACCATCCACCAAATAACTACATGGTCAAGTTTTTGTGGTAAATAAAAACTCCAATAAGACAATGCAGCAGTAATAAATTTGTATCAGTGTTTTTAGTCTGCAGCATTTGTATTTCAAAAATATTTTCAATTGTTTTAAATTCCAACTACTGGTACATGTGTTTTAAATTCTTCATAGAATTTCTGTTTTATTTTTGATATCCAATTTTGATTTTGTAATTTGTTCAATTCTACTCTGGGGAATATTGCTTGGATATCCTGTCTTATTCATATGCAGATGTCACACCCATAAGTTGCCTAAAACTAGATAAGCTCAAATCACAGGTGGACAGATAGGGAAAATTTATATGAAGGGCAACTAACCTTTATCTCTGTAATAACAACCAGGGATCTCTTACCCCGGTCGAGACAATTCGACAGTCCAGTGGTAAATCGAGGTAACGACGTACACCGAATATTATAATCAAGGAGACATTCACACCATTAATTAACGACGCAGACAGGTCAAGTGGACAACAACTTCTATTCAATATTTATAACGGTGAACCAAGGTCAACAGTGGGCACATATAATTATTTGTACATAACACAATAATTGGCACCTCGCTCACTGGAGTATAAACTCACAATAGTATGATAATAAACGCTACAAATGCATGAATTGGCAGTAATACACACAATAATAATCACTTCCGGTTGACAGAATTAACAGCATTGTTCATCACAATAATTACTAAAGTTGTATGACTCAATAAAGGAATACACAATGTTCATCAATATACATGTAGCGTAAACACAACAATTACCAGAGTAGTATGAAAAAATCTTGTTTGATAAATACAACAACAGTTAACTGGTACAACAACTCAATATAATTCTGCATGAACTTTAGCACAACGTACAGCCTAATAAAACTATACATGTCATGAATGTACCAACAGTAAAAGCCCTAACCCTAGTTAACTGATTACATGTAATTAGTCCCCGTTTGGACGCAGTCCGAAAACGGGGACTTATGTTTTGCCCTGTGTGCGTCCGTGCGTCCGTCCGTGCGTCCGTCCGTGATCACCTGTATCTCGAACATGCATGGACCGATTAAGTTCAAACTTCACTCATACATCACACATTATATGGGACATATGCACATGCATTTTTTTCATGATCCGATTAACGATAGCCGAATAGCGGCCATTTTAAGGCCGAAAATGCATCAAAATCGCACATTTTCACCATTCCGGACCCGGATCTCAGTTATGCATGGATGGATTTTGTTCAAATTTGGTACATACATTAAACATAATAGGACCTTGATGCACGTCTTTTTTTTTGGATCAAGTTCGAAATGGCCGACTGGCGGCCATTTTGTTAAAGAATTCAGTTCTGGATCCGTATCCAAGACATGTCTGGATTGATCAAGTTCAAACTTCACACACACATGGTACATCATGTCACAAATAGATATATGCATTTGTTTCATGATCTGCTTAACAATAGCGGAATGATGGCCATTTTAAGGCCGAAAATGCATCAAAATCACGTATTTTCACAATTCCAGAACCGGATCTCAGTCATGCATGGAAGGATTTTGTTCCGATTTAGCACAATGTGTTGTACATATGCAGGTGCATTTCGGTCATGATCTGCTTTGAATGTATATGTCACTCAAATATGAACGGAACGGGGACGTGTCATTGACAATGACTTGTCTCTAATTAATATTCACTTCAGACGAACATCACACAGATACACACAATCTTTGCTGTCTTGTAGGGCACAACACACGAAATTGCTAACTTTAACAACAAGCCAAACGAAAAACGTCCCTCCAAGCGCAAAGATTCAAACATACAAAAATCATACAGTCGCGCATGTACATGTGAGTAACGGAACTGATCACTGTTCGAAATCGTATGACAGTTTGCACAAAGTTAACTTTTGTTAGTCAATGAGTATCAAACCTGATCTTCGAGTTCCTTACGGTAGCGGCAAGTCCCTCAATGGCGTACTGGCGTCGATCACGTCAAAGCAACGGCGAAACCCTCACAACTGTAGCGACGGAGCGTAGGTCCCTTTGACTTTCAAGTAGCCTCACAAACTTGACAAAACCAGTTCACTTCACTCGCCCACAACTGCTTCTACAGTCGTTCGACTCGAAATACTCCGGCCCCACGGGTACCTGTCACTCAGCAGGGACTTCAACTCACAGTCCCATCGGCGATGGCCTTTTCTGGTTGCGCTGATCGGTTCAGGCCGCGTTTCAACCAGTCAACTCGGGACGGCGTGGTTCCACTTTAACGAGCAGCCATTGTTCCCCCGTCTTCACTACGCTGACGTCATCCGTTCCACGAAGTGATCACGTGATATTCTCATGTCAAATGCATTCACTCAGGAGCCAAAATAAGTTTCATAACTCTATTACGGCTATCCCTGTTAGTATAGTGTATGCAAAAAGCACATCCACACAAATCACTGCATGTCATGTCCGTCTGACAATCTATAAAATGTTCTAATTACGCAATAAAAATACAACTCAATGGCGTCAAATTTACCAGGCGACACATGCATTGAATATTAATTAAGAAAACAGATGTTGTGCATACTAGTGCCATTATAAAGTTTTTTTCATGTAGAAAAGTGCAGGATCGGAAACGGTTGTATTTATGCTTGTTTTGTTTTGATAAATCTAACAATTAAAATTAATTAATCTAATGCTTTGCACCAATTACAGTTTTGCATATACACATACTGTTGCAGATACAACTTAAGAACAAAAAACAAGATGAAATGTACTTGACAAATGTAATGTAACATATTTAACAGTGCTTATTTCCTGTATGTGTGAATTATAGGTAATTTTTTCCATCAT